AGCTGGGAATTATAGAAGGAAGGTTAGTAATGGGGGTCGGAATGGGAGTAAGAGAAACAGGTGGAAAAGAAAGAAGGGAGGCGCCAGCAGTAGCATGTTTCCGCTTGTCCGCCCTGCTGTATGCAGCAGATAAGGCAACCCATGATAATCTGCGCGACGGCCGATGCAGGATGAAGTTTATGTTTGAAGAAGAAGTCATGGTTGTATGTGGGCTGAGATACTGCCAAGGCGCCCAGATCTAGGCAGAAGGACGATTAGGGTCCTCATCAAAAGCCTGTCCGTAAGGCAGTGGGGAGGTGGCAATGATTTAGTTTTACAGAAATGGACACCATGCAATTTCATATCCTCAACCTGGAGTACCAGGAGTCTGAGTTCGTCTGACCTCTCTCCATTGACCAACCTGGTAGGAGTAGCTCTCAAGGTGCCCGGAGGCACCACACGGTATAGCTCAATGGATCAAGGAGGTACGCAAACCGTCGCACCACGTTAAGGTCTCGTTGCGACCGTGTTAGCAGAGCATGGGCGATACCAACACTGTAAATACCTTGAGCCATTGCCTAGGTATCACCAGAGACGCGGAGTGTAGTTATCGTCATCAGATTCAGAAGGAGTGAGTCGAGGATTCGTCAAAACGCCGTTATCTTGAGTGCGTGTTTCGGAGACACAGCACACATCTATATCAAGAGAGTAAAGAGAGTCAGTGCTGCCTGTTGACCGATCTGACCCGAAGTGCGGACGTTAAAAGAACCAATATGAAATGATATTCGTTGTTTGATGGACGAGTTACGAGTATCGATGGTAGAAGCTGAGAGATCAGTGGTAGATTCATGCTTAATAGATGGTGAAGAGAAAAATAAGAAGAAGAGGGAGTGTTATCGGCGTGGTCGAGAGGGCAAATGATACTCTCCGGCTGCTCATTCAGAGAGACGGGTTTTGTTCGGGGTGCCCTACCTCCAGCCTTTGACCCAACAGTCTGGCCCACAAGGCAGTAGGGGAGTTAGAGGTTCGCTTGAGATACTCTACCCGAAGCCTTTGGCTCAATAGCCTGACCCACAAGGCATTAGGGGGAGCAAATCCAGCTCGAAAGTGTGATTGCAGAAACCCATTGGGATCTGGTTGAGGCCTGTCATATTGTCCAGAAATAAACTAGGTGCTCATACATTCATGTGGGTACTTATCGTAGACAATGCGCGTAAAGCCCCGTCCAACTTGTAAATATGCGTCAATGAGATTCAGCTGCGTGAATCTTTGTACACCTGCTAGTGTAGCATGAAGATTCTATATCCGGGATATAAGAATCAGAATTAAAAAACGAGTAACACTTAGTTTATTTTGAGTTCGTCGCAATCAGCCGACAATTCAGGCAAATCAACTACCATTCCAAGAAAGCACCAGCCGGCCATTCCGCCCTATTGGGGCTCATCAGTGGTGCGCATTCTTCGGTCCTGTTCCGATGATCGAACCCATGACTTCTAGTGGCATGCGCCAACTAGCCCGCAGCTGAAACCAGTGAACCATGGGGGACGGCAGACGACCATTATGAAGTCCTGACGTCGGAAGGTCAACTGCTGTCATCTGCATGGCAGTGGAGGATGGGTCGGGTTATATGGCAGTTAGCTAACAATTCATGATGGTCGTCTGCCGTAACCCATGTCTCAGTGGCTTTAGCCGTGGGCTAGTTGGCGCAAGCCACTAGCATTCATGGGTTCGATCCTCGGAAGAGGACCGATGAATGCGCACCACTGACGAGCCCCAATAAGGCGAAACAGCCGTCTGGTGCTTGCTTGGAATGGTAGTTGATTTATCTGAAGTATCGACTGATGGCGACGAACTCACGATCTTACTTCCCAAGCATAAAGTAATTCTTTTTTGCCGGCACAATAGCCGGCTGATAGCACTCCGGAACGATGCCTATCCGGTACCGGTGGCTCAGCTAGCATGTCCCTGCTGCATGTTATTTTCCTTTTCCATGTATTGCGGCACAATAGCTAAGGTGTTTTCTACCTCTAGCTAACGTTTATAATGAGGGTGATGATGATGCACCTAGGTAGAGTTGATTGAAAGTGCAATAGATTGAGTAGCCTTTTGTCAGATACAACACTGATTATAGTAACTGAGGCACCAGTATCCAATTCCATCAAGATCTAATGACCTTCAATTTCTAGTTGCACAGTGTAAGATGAAGGAATGCTACAGGCATTGGACGTCGCGTTCCAAATCGTTTAAGTGAAGGTCCTCTTCATCGGGTGAGTGAACAGTATTCACACGCTTTATTGGAAATCGTAATGTCACAGTTAGGCCAGCATATTCGGGTTCAGTACCATATCAACTATGTATGGACATCCTCAAGCTATCAAAATTTTTGTACAGACGTTCTGCCAACTCATCGTCGTCTCATCACATGATAATGGCTTCTTCCGAACCTGTTCACCATGGATACCGGATAGCAAATAATGCATCTTCGAAATAAGTGGCTGGAGTTTCACTATACCGACACTCTGTTAAGGATAGCTGAATCCTAGCAATGAAGTCAATGACACTTATTCCAAGACGTAAAGCCGAGAAGGAATAGCATACAAGTCGGGTATTCCATCGTGAGATTCGTAACTCACTGAAGATGTTTAGTGCGTTGTTAAGTGTCGTTTGGTTGCGGAGGACATCGAAATATCGTTGACCTTCACGCCCCCCCCCCAAAAAAAGTCGTCGCGGTAGTTTAATTGTGTAGCTCACTGAGAGCACAGTTTTGTTGCAAAACGAGTGATAACTAAATAATTCAAAAAGATGAGCTTAAGGCGGTTCCAGGTAGCGGGTGTCGGTTTCTCAGAAGGAATATTCCAATGCTATGCAGGCAAGTGCACTATAGTGGTAATCTAGTCCGGTCCTCTGTTGGACGTAAAAGAACGCGCAGTTGAAACATGTGGCCAAAAGGGCTGAGACTGAAAACCAATGAAGTGAAGAAAGTAAGGCAAGGTTAACTGTCAGTCAATCGTGTGGGCAACTGTGCTCCTGCCAGTTCCGTTCCGTAGGATAGAGGTGCATGAATATTGATGCTTTAGCGGTCATTTCTAAGTGCCAGCGTAATCGGTTTGGATTGCAAAAACCCCACTTGCCTTTGTGGCGCAGCTTTCTCAACAAAAAATATGAAGCCTACTCCATGTGAAGTAGGTGGCATGCTTAATGCACTACATTTGTGATGGCAAGATAAAGCCTTTTCCGTTGTCCCGCCGCTGATACGCGCAGTGTCAAGGAGCGGGATAGGAGGTTGGGTGTCTCGTTCGATTTAACAAGATACTCAACAAACACAGCGGATGGCCGCATGTTCGGAGGTCTCAAGACGGGAGTACGATTGTGACGCCAAGTCAACAGGTTCACGCAGCGTCATCAGTCTGTATTGGCTGTGTGCGTCACCAAGCGCTGGTTTCTGCAATCCTCTTGAATTGGGAGCAAGGGTAGGGAGCATCGGAGGTCAGAAGTCGCATCCAACATAGCGTAGTGGAACGTCCGAGACACATTTTCAACCATTTGCCTGTTTTCCAAGGGCAAGCCCTTATCCAATTATTATCTCACATCCGACATGTATTTTCAGATTAGTGCATCATTTCCTCATCACCTTCCTCGACATCTCTCATAACCAATTGACACAATGCGCCTTGGTAATTAGAGCACCTTTGTTTAACAAGGGAATTGATACGTCCTTGACAGTCTTCAAATGCTATGCGGGCATAGTTACTGTGGAAATCGTAACCTCTGAGGAAAGAGACTGCCCTTTGTAATGGTAGAGACCTGCATGTCAGTGGAGGATAGTTTGCTCTATATCCCACTTAGCTTGCAAGTTCGGACGGTCTGCCACTGACCCCCATGGCTCAGTGGAATAAGCTCCTAGCGGTCATGGGTTCGATCCCCAGCAAGGGACCGAGGTAATGCGCATCAATGATCAGCCCCAACAGGGTGAAACGATAGTCTGGTCTTTGCCGGATTGGGGTTTGACTAAGCTGGCTTGTGAGCAGCTGGGATGAAGCAGTAAAATATCATCAAGAATCCTCCTACTCATCAGTAACTGCCGAGGTTAGCTGAGACGTAAAAAGTGAGTCAACATGCAATGAAAACACAACTTAGTCTCCGCGCAGACTAATTTGAGCATCTAGGCCGCTTGTCATTAACACAAATGAGTAAATCTGTGGGGTTCCAAATTGCCTTATCATGGTTAACTGGGGTTTGGGTTTCGCATAAAATGAAGTTGTTAAAAGTACCAGAGGGAGAGGTCATACTCCACAAGCTTCTCATCCTAAGCCCGACTTCCTAATGCCAGAATATTGGGCTCCACCATTTGGAAGTCAACGGATTTCCACCCAGTACCATGGTGCGAGGATAGCGACGTCGTCCAGCACTTTCACGAATGATGGTCTACACGTTGCGATACCAAATTAACCGATATCCCTTCACATGAGACTAAATGATAATCAGACATAATCAGGCTCGGTTGTTACATCGCAGGAGAACGCATACAATTCAGACATATGGCCTCTTGAAAAAAGGCATCACCAGTACGCCGGAACGCAGTACCGACGCTTTGCTGCCGCGCAACCACCACGAGTCGCGCATGGGGTAAGGATACTGCGAGAGTCGTCCGGTCCCCTACGCAGTTTCGAACACATGATTACGGATTACAAGGTAGGCCCGTGTTCCTTAAGGCTACGGGCCGACATACCTCTTACCTAAGCAACACGGATATGTACAGCAACCGAAACGAAGATAAAAAGGTGAGGATAAGTCACAGATTAGAAGTCTCCAAAGTCTCATCGCCAATCACTTGCAACTAAATCGTTAAACTCGGAAGGCATATGAACTGCTGGACATTCAACCCCAACCCCAAGTATTTCAGAATATCCAGTTACAGCTTCCCTTCCTTCTGGCATGAACAGACAACTTTCCCATTGAAGCGAAAGAGTGTAAACGAGCAGAAAAGTCGATCGATCGAAATGGTGAACTAACTGATGTACCTTTGCCGATGTGCCGCCTCGTATTTTCGATCGTGGAATTCCGATTCACATTGGAAAGAAGTCCGAGGCAAAAACGGTCAGAATTGTTCGATGGGTCGGTGAATCCATCGATAATGATGCTCGGCTGAATCGCGTTAAAAGCCTCCCCGACGCGATTGTTCAATTCATAATAGACAACGGAGCACCAGTATTTCGGCTCCTGGTATGTCACCGGGTGCATATCTGTTAAGAGTGGGGAGGGGAGAGGAAGCTAGCTAACAAATAAAAATAAATGGCACACCAGGGCAGGCAATGATACGACAGGAAAAAAACATTTTATTTTCAGAGTGTACGTACGTGTCCGATCAGATCGGATTCAGTTCATAGTCGGTGCAGTGCTCTCTCAAAATAAATCACGGGAACATAAGCATTAAAAGGGACGAGCAACAGTCCAATACGGTTGAATAACCATGATCCCACAACACCGAATTGCGATGGATCCTGTTGCCATGACCAGCATCGCTATGAAAAAAACCCTTAAAAATTGCGGGAAAAACGATGCAGGGTACTGACTAGAAAGCCGAGGTTGCGAATATAATAAGAAGACAAAAAATTGCAAAGACGCGCATCAGAGTACTTGAATCAAACTGGAGACACGCTTTTGGAGTAAAGAGGAACAGATCCAAGGGTAACTGATCTAGAGAAGGAAGTAGTTAAGGGCCTCAGAAACAGACAAACATTCAGGACATGAGTGTCATGATAGCCACAGAAGTAAACTATGCGCAAGCGTTGTGAGTGAGGTGTAGCGAATGAGTAGTTGCATAGTGCACCGTAAAAAACGAGTCCTCAGAATAAGCAACTCGAGCTTGGCACATGCCCATCTCCAACGCTAACAGATGGAACGAGGCCGGATGTAATTATTTAAAGGCCAAGAAGAGGGTGTTCAAGCTTAAGTAATGTTCAACGCAGTGTGTGCATGGAGCGAGCTGACCACGTGATCACAAGATGTTTGTGTTGAATGAGCAGTTTATCAAAAATCGGCGCCGCTGAATGTACATGCCTGCGCGCCCTAGCAGATTACAACGACGACGACAGACCATGTGAATGGGACGATGCAAATGGAAGGCGCCAAATAGAAGAGGCACGGATGTGTGCAAGGGCGGGGAAGGGGGGTGGGACAACGCGCGGGACAGCTGCTGTTAACCCAGCGTGAGACGGGCACATGTGCAACGAGAGCGTACCTGTGTAAACCACCTGCAGCAACCCACTCTGGGTGTAAAGACGACAAACGACCAAAAGAGGCAAATCTCATCGGGTGTGGGAAGCAGTGAGAGTCAAAGGTGTGGCGGGAGAGTGATAGTGCGTGTGTGCCTTCAAAGCGTTCGCCTCTCTACAGCAAAACTGCTAAAAGGTGAAATAGTCATGTAGGCGATCGTCATGCACACGTGTGACTACGCAATGGAGACAGATTGCACGGGAGAGACTCTCTGAAACAGGATGTAATCAGACAATTCTTATGGTGAACAGGCCGATCGGGAGGGCAGATGATACAACCAGGTCAAGTGGTTGTTCAGAGACGAGCATACAAACAGATGATGCAGTGGTGAGGGCGACTGAGCGGAAAAACTCGCTACCGGGAAGCGAAACCAACAAATATATGTTTTCGCGTGCAGCCTGCCATGCCCAGTGATGGAATACAGCTGGGTTGCAGACCGCAGTCAGTTGAAGAAATGTGGGGATCGAACATGGTAGTGGGGTGAAATCATTGTCAAATTGACAAAAGAGTGATTCCATGTGCACGAAAATTAGGACCGATGTGATCTAGCGAGTGTTTCGTACCCCACTTTAATGGCGCTCAGCTCAGTGTTGGGTTAAGCAGTATCCGCACGCAGTGTGAAGTTGGGACACTACTCTTAGTTGGTCCATTCCGGCCAATGAGACCGCATCAGTGTTGGAACTGAACAACACAGAAAATTCAACACTCGGCACAAATTGGTCACGCGACTATGCTCCTAATGTCGAGATGTGTCGGACCCAATGGACTTCATTATGGTAACCGGTACATGAAGTAGGAATGAGAAAAAACGAAAATAAAGTCAGTCGAAAAAAGCTAGAATCGAGATGCAAGGGCAACAGTGAATGTAGGACAACATGATGTCGCAAAGAAGTTCCAATCATTGAATTGGTCGATATCTATTCGGTAGCGCCTCACTCAGTTGTCTTATGTCGTATGGTGAATTGGCCACTCTTGTGATATTGCCAAATCGAGTACAATGTGGGCAAACGGTGCAACCTAGGGTAGGTGGTTAAGAAGTACGCGAAAAACGTGGCCAAGCCAGTTGAGGTCATTCAGGTTCGACTGGTGTTCCAGTACGGTGCCAGAAGGTGTGCTGCTGAACATCAACAACTGACGGACATAAGCGTTATTCACTCAGTGGTCCGATTAGTCACGTGGATTTAGGAGGTTCAACAAAACAGCAGTATCAAATGTAAGAGCTCTGGTGACACACAACCACAAGCCTCCAAGAAGTCTCGTGCACAGGTGACGGAAGTGAAGTGTAGATGACAGACTTCACAGGCCGACTGGCAGTTGAGCTGTCACGATCCAAAAGGAAGAGTGCGGTTAAAAACAGATGACCAACACCTGAGTAAACCGCGACATTAGTTATGCAACAGATGACTAACTTATTAGGTGGCCTTGACGGACAAACAAGTAGCGGAAGCGGATGCAAGTTGAACATCCTTGCGACGGCAGTAAAGTCGCCGCACAAAAATGAGCAGTGATAGTGTCACAAGTGAGAGGACAAAGCAGGGTAGCAATGAGTGGCTTTGCGATCACCGCTTTCACTTCATAAAGCCCCGTTCTTCGTTTAGCTATTACATCATTAAAATCGGTACACGAACCGGTTAGCAAACTAAGCGGTGATGAACCGGTACACACCAGCATAAATCAATTGGCTACAGGTGGCGCGCCTCTGTAAGATTTGTGGTCGATCCAACACGATTCTGAGTAGGATTTCGTACGCATCCTGATTCAACGACGCGTTTTACTCCGATGCCCCTACACTGCTATGTGAAACCGTAGTTCGTCAAACGATGCCATTACAAAGCGAGTAGGAACGTCAGATATTAACGACGAGTGAAAAAATGAGAAAAATGTCAAATGGAATCACATCGAATGCGATACGAAGACGGCAAAAATGCTTATATATCGCGCGAACGCAAGGACTGAACTTCAATTTGTGCACCCAGTGGCCCCAGATTTTAAACGCCACGCTTCGACTCAGCCAATTAACAGAACGGTAGACTTGTAGAGAATTTATACCTGTCACTGTGACTTGTGTAATAAAAGCGGTTCCAAGCGAAAAGCGTGTATTCGTTTGTATTAAGTATGTAAAGTGAGCAGGATGCAATAAACGCCATCGTGCGATTTCTCAGAACATTAGGAACGAGCGCAATGTGTACGGACTAATGAGTGTGACTATGAAAATCAGAAGTCATGATCGCCTGTGATTTACTAACAAGGGTGACCCGAAGATCCCAACGGTCCGTTAAGTATACGTCAGGACATACGAGGAACATGTGCTAGAGCGACTCACTTTGTCCCAGGGTGGAGGAGCCGGTAGGATAACCTGATGAGAGTGCGGAATCTAACAAGGCAAAAGATTGGATAGAATTGTGAATAGCGGTAGAAAAAGCACTGAAAATGGGAGCAAAACAAGGTTAACAAAGGCTTGTCTGGTACATGGCTTTATCAAACTTGGCGAACTCGGGAAGCCAAACCATAATACAATGCAGGCACTGCACACAATACCCACAAATTGGTATTATGAAGCACTTACTAGTTGGCGATGATAGTGCAGTGAGACTGCTCTCCGTCGATGTTCCGCTGCTGCCGAGGCCAGCAGGAGAGTGGGCGAAACCTTGAGGATAGCTAACATTGTAAGGCATAGCGGGTTCGGAAGTTCTTTGAAACATGCTCAAAGTGGTGGCGGAGTGGCCGGTCGTAGAGCTGTTACCGGTTGCACATGGTGGAGCAGAGGGCGAAGAGGCTACTGAGCCCACATTTGGATATTCACTGTGACGAGGGACCAGGACCGGTGGGAGAACTGGAAAGAGAATGAATAAACGAGGATAAATTCGAATGAGCTGTGGGATATTGGTGATTTCGCCGCCAATGGTTATTGAGATGAATCAGTGGATTTCCGTGTTTAGAAGAGGTAAGGAATAACGTCCAGTTCCCAGTTTCCATTTGCTTCGGCTACGGTCCCAGTGATCGCATGCACCAAGGTTCACTTTGATGTGAATCTCAATGTGAACATTGAGAATTGTGCGCCGCAATGCATTCGCAAGACGAGTACTTCAAAATGACCTTCCAACGTTCAGTTTCACTTAAATCTGTCGATCGCGCATCACACTCTCAATACACCTGAGGCAAAAGGAAGTGTGATTGATCCTCATTCTCAATAACAGGACAATAACTAGAACGGCGTGTAACTGCCTTGCAACCTCAAATGTAGGGAGACAGATTTAGTGAAAAAAATAAACAGGAAGAAAGGAAAAACAATTGAGCATATGTACATCCGCTAAACACACAGTCATGTCCTGTTGACAGGTACAGTGGATACGATTGCGTTGAAGGCCGCAGCTAGAATAAGTAGTGACATAGGAGTTTAAAGTCAAAAATAAGGAAGAGAAGACAACAGTGCACTGAGTTCACAGCTGCACTATATCTGGAAGGGTATCCAACAACTGAGTGGCCAATCCTGAGGATCATCTTTGGGAAGACGACAAGCATCGGCCCAACCCAGCCTTTCAGTGTTTCTTCGTGTTCCATTGCCAAAGGTTTCGCGCAAACAGTCGCAGTATTGAGAAATGAGCTGCACTGAGCATGGACTTGTCGACTGTGCCGGAGTGACACCCTGCGATTGCGTGCGAGTTAAAACTGGAAAAAGACTAAAAGCAGGTTGTGCGAGAGCCAAGAGCTGAAGGTTTAAAACAGGGGGGCTAAAATGAATTAAAGACAGAACGATCAGGATGAAAAACGCAAAAAGGGAATATGAAGACGGAAGGGCCTGTGGTAGCACCCTCATTCATATTGTGTAGCAGTTAGAGTGTCGTTGATTGTACTATACGACGGCCATCCCATCAGGAAGTTGTTTAGGGAATTTATCAATTTATTGAGGGAGCAGAACATTGCCAATTTGCCCAAGCATATACTTGAGAACGATTAGGTCCACCTGTTGATCGGTTCGCCGAAATTGACAATATGGCTACGTACGTTTTGCCACCATGCGAGGTGGTATCGTGAGCGCATTGCTGAGCTATATGCAATCTTGCTGATTGGATGGTACATCCGGGATCTAGGGACAGGTGATTTTTGAAAGTAACAGCTCCGGTGTCATCTGTCCCTCGATCATAGATGGACGATTCAACCAACAAGATTGTACACTGCCCAGCAATGCACTCACGATGCCACCTCGCAGGAAGGCGAAACTTATGTAGCTACACTAGCAAGTTGGGCGAACCGATCAACAGGTGAACCTAATCGTTCTCAAGGATATGCCTGGGCAACCTAGCAACATTCCGCTCCGGCAATAAAATGATAAATTCCCCAAACGACTTCCTGATGGGATGGTCGTCGCAGAGGAAAATCAACGGTACTCTAACTGCTACGTAATAGGAGTGCTACTGCTCAGGCCCTTTCGTCTTCACACTCCCCTTTTGCATCCTAATTCACTTTTAGCCCCCAGTTTTCAACCCACAATTCTTGGCTCTCGCATATCCTGCTTTTAGCCTTCTTCCAACTTCAACTCATACGCAATCGCGGGGTGTCACTTCGTCCCAGTCGACTAGTCCATGCTCAACGAAGCGAACAAACTCAGATCATTCGTTTCCAGTTGGGGTCCTCGAGCATCGCTACGACTGGCATGCATCAACGTGCGCACTTTGTCACAGATCTACCAACAACCAGCAATTGTCTAACACTACAGACCCTATCAATCGATAACTGCTGCTTATCGGAAACCCGTTTGCAGGACTCGAACTCTGTGCTCACTCTAAGATCATCTCCAAGTGACTCAGGCGGTACTTTCTCATTGCGTCTATCCGGGTATAACGCAGTATCAAATGCCGGTCAAGCCGGTGTGGGCGTTGTTTGCAGCCCCCGGACTGAAGCTCGTATCATAGATTGGATCCCAATCACCAGTCGGGTGTGCACCGAGAGATTGGCTGGCTCGTTCAAAGTTCCGAAGTCGCGAGAGGATAAACGGTACCTGTTTGTCATTGCTGCCCACGCCCCACAGACCGAAGCACTGACTCGGTGAATAATGACTTTTATCCCCGACTGGACGAGCTCCTGCGTTAAAGAAAAAGTACGGGTACTGTGGTGATGCCTGGTGATCTGAACGCTTAAGTTGAAAAACTGTCCACTGATGAGCTTCATCTGGGCGGCCAATACCAGACATCTATGGTGTCAGAAAAGGGTTTCCGTCGGTCTAAAAGACCGTTTGCAAGACAACAGTGAAGGCCTTCCTACTCTAGGAGAGTGAGACTTGGCCATTTCAGTCCTATCATCGCTACCTGCGAAGCACTGCTGGTGTCGGATGGAACCAACGTGTCTGCGTAGGCGAATACTAGACAGTGATAATCAAGCTAGTTCCACAGAACAACAGATAGCACTGAATAAGTTGCGTCGGCTTGGGCATGTACTACATATGCCCGATCACTGATTACCGCGGAGAGCGTTATTCAGCTTGCCGAATGTTGGATGGCGCAGGAGTCGAGGTAGACAAAAGTTAATTTGGCGGTTGGAAATGAAGTCACTGAAGACCAGACTGGATGTCATTGGTCCGTCTCACCTTTCAGACTGGAGTCCACGTGACCCGCCTTGTGCCTGGCTCGAAATGTTACAAGACATGGCTCACAGTTGGGAGCGGCGGTGCGTCTGTTGTCATCTCGCAGTCGGGCTCTGTGTAGAGTGTTTAGTGCTGAGTAATCTACGGGGTAATGGTTGATTATGATGCAAGGCAATGGAAGCCGCAAGGAAGCTGTATCGCTGATTCCGCCTCACCATTGTATGACAGCCAGCTATTTGTGACAATGCGATGTTGATAACCTGCAGACGCCTTGAACCTAAATGTTTACTTGAGGCATGATTGTTTTATGCTAGGTCCCCCTTCTCTCCCACTTAGTATTCTTCATTCCGTGCGGTAACCAAGCATCAGTTTAAATGGTTGATGTTGATGATGGAATCAAAAAGTGCGTCAAACTAATCGAGATAGGGAGGCTATATGCCAGAAACCGAATGCATGAACGCCACTCGGCCAGTGGCCGAGTGACCTGCATGCCTGGCTTGCAGTTATAAGGTCACTGGTTCGAATCTGCGGAGGAGCGGTAGTCCTTGCGGTATACACAGCCCAACGGCGTATAGCTGACGATTATTTATTTTTAATTACTTACTGCGCGACTGCTCCATGCCTGGTAGTTTCCAATCACTGGTGTGAACCATTCAGGGACCCCCATCCGTTAAGACAGCACGCGCCAGTCTGACCAAGCCTCTCATCCAATTTCTTCATGCCTTTTTGCCAGATCATGGACTGGCTACCTCGCGGTTTCGCCAATCTTGGTGCAACGACGGCGTATAATGCATGCCGAGGATGCCGTTCAGCTGGCGTACGGAGGACGTGACCCAACCAACGTGTGGCTGTGTTTAAGCAAACACACGAGTTATGAACCAGAAGGCTACCTGCCAAAGGTCAATTGAGAGACCTTCACATTGCTCACCCGGTGCACCCATCAGATGTGAGCAATGCTCCGCAGAAACCAGTGGTCAAACACGAGCAAGAGTTTAGTGTCCTTACTGCGAAGTTGGCAGGTCTCTAATGCATACGGTAACACAAGTCTTATCGCAGCGTTATACATCCTACCTTTCAATGACAGGCTGATACCCAGTCGTGTCCATAGATGATTGAGCCACTGAAATGCCATACGGGCCATGCAGATATGCGAAGTAACCAGCTCAATGATTTGGCCAACAGAGGTGACAGCTATCAAGGTAAGTGAATTGATCCAACATTTCTAGAGACTGTTATTTGATAACTAAAGCCAGTAGCGTATCAGTCTAGTCATGCGATAATACCTTGCAGTTTGAAGGCGCAAAACACATGTCGAAGCGTACTGCGCTATGCATCAGTCTATACAGTTGTGCTTGCATGATCAGTGTGTCGGACATAAGGAGAGTTATGCCGTCTGCATACGCAAGATTAGTTAGCCGGTCACCTGGCGGTACTGTGTACCGACGCTTCGGTGCCATGCAACCACCAATGGTCGGACGTGCGCTAAGGATACTGCGAGGGTCATCATCATCTACGCAAACTGGAACGCGAGCCGCAAGATTACGAGACAAGCTCGTTACCTTTAGACTACGGGCCGGCACAACCCTGGCGAACTTAGGAGAGTCTTCCGCATACCCTTAGCTGCCCTTGGGAGTCACAGTAGAGGTTTCAGAATGGACAGTTTTACATGTATTCCCTTCGGGAATAGGCAGTGCCACAAGTTGGTAAGATCAAGCCGAAGAAAGAAGCTATAGTCGGTCGTCTATAAGTGTGTTCTTGTAATCCGAGGGCGCGGGTTCAAGCTTGCGTAGGGGGCCGAGCGATCCTTGCAGTAACCGTAGCCCATGCGCGACTGTTGGTAGTTGCGCGGCAGCGAAGCGTCGATATTGCGTACCGGCGTACTGCTGAGACCCTTTTGTACGCCACTACTTTAACACTTGATGAGGCAGAAAGGCGTCAGCAGTACACCGGTACGTAGTACCGACGCTTCGATGCCACACAACTGCCACCAGTCGCGCATGGGCTAAGAATACTGTGAGGGTCGTCCGGTCCCTATGCAGGCTCGAATCCGCGCACTCGGAGTATAAGGCAGGCTTGTGATCCTTAATACTACGGGACGGCACATTTGGTGAGGAGTAAACATGTGGTCGATGCAACCACTACCAGGGCGGAAGCGAGCTTGGCTTGACTCGGCTCTAATGAGGACCAGTAAGTCGTCGAAGAAAGATACTGGGGCAGAGCGCGAACATGAGAGCATTCCTATCCCCATCGCT